GCATACTGGGGCATTACGTAACTACTTCTCATTCCTTTAAATTTTAAATATCAATCTATTTGAGAAATTCTAATATATAACCTTGCCATAATGCTGTCTGAGAAACTCTCAAGTTTAGACTCTGTGTCTTTAACAGTTTAAGAATCTTGAAATATGAATTCAAAAGAATATATGCACCCCTATGTTCATTGCAGCATTATTTACAATAGCTAAAGTTTGGAAGCAGCCCAAGTGTCAATCAGTAGATGAGAGGATACCAAACAAAAAAAAAACAAAAAAACAAAAAACTGTGGTACATTTACACCATGGAATACTACTCAGGTGGAAAAAGAAAGAAATCTTACCCTTTGTGACAGCATGGATGGACCTAGAGACCATTATGCTATAAAATAAACCATTCATAAATTCATAGAAAGACAAGTATCATATGATTTCACTCATATATGGAATCTAATGAACTAACAAGCAAAGTAGAGACAGACTCATAGATAGAACAGGGTGATAGCTGTTGGTGGTAGGGATTAGGGGCTGGGTGGGAGGATGGAGGGACTGAGCAAAAAAGAAAAAAGAGAGAAAAGTACATGGAGGGAGTGGGAAGACTAGAAAGGGTCAATGGGGAAAGGGGGTATATCTGTATAACTTTCAATAATAAAGATAAATTTTTAAAAAACTCATGGACATAGACAACAGTATGTTAATTACCAGAGGTTGGGGTGGAAGAGGATATAGGGGATACATGCTGATGGATGGAGATTTGACTGGGGGTGGTGAACACACATATAGTGTACAGGTGATGTGCTGTGGAATTGTGCACCTGAATTCTTTATAATTTTGTTAACCAGTGTTGCCCCAGTAAATTCAAGAAAAGGAAAAAGAAAAAAAGAGTAAAACAACTATAATCTCACATCTTATCCTGGTATATGGGCAATATGGTAATGAACTAAAGTAATGGGGAAATTTCAATTAAAAGAAAAAGTTTCTTATAACTCCTCACTAAAGAACTGATAAGTACCTTTATTCAGAGTGGTGAGGGGAAGAATTTTGGTCCAGCCTGCATCTTTTCTATGGGTATCCCAGAATGGCTGTGGGAAGGAGGACAAGAAGAAAGTCCCTTTTTCTTTAAATTCCCCAAAACAGTTCCCATAGAGGTCAATCTCTTTATTTGTTAATCCAGGGAAGAACACTACAGTTTAATCTCTCTAATTTAATACTCATAGTGCAGTAAAGCTTTGTTTGCTGTGATGATGAAGTTGTAAGGTCCTCATCAGCCTTTCTTTTCTTTTATTTACTTTAATGTTTCTCATTCCATCATTCTGAATCTTAATTTTTAGCAGCTTTATCCATCGGCACTGTGTAGGTTTTAGAATTACTAGAACACAAAATCTCCAAACATGGCAGGTTTATCTTCTTGTGACGTCTAGGTCACTGGTAGGTATTATTTTTCTTTTTCCCCTCTCTTTCATGCCCATACACATTTGAACAGAGATTATATGTCCCTCCTGCCCTGGCAGTGATTCACTGTTTGACTTGCCTTTTTCCTATGGTGGATGCTCATCCTTAGTAAGTTTTATTCTGAGGTTCTTCCTCTTCAGGTGGGCTGATTTTCAGCCAGTGAACATTAATAAGGTTTCAAGTTTGTTTATAGCCAGTTTTAGTTACTTGTGCCTATGCCTAGGGGTCATGGACTATTTTTTAATAACCCTAAGATATAAGATTCCTTGCTTTACAATTATCATGGCTCCCTCATGATAAAAGTATTCTAACTGGACCATTTCTACTCTTTCATATGGATATTATACACTAAAAAATATATCATTAAAATAAATGGTTTATTCTATAACATTCTGTCTCTCATATGATATTTGGCTTCTGTTCTCTCACTGGGAACATATTCTTAACCTGAACTCTGTCTCCAGATTACAGCACTTTGGCTTCAACTCCTTCCTATTCTTTTGCTCACATGGTTGAGTGGCATGTGAGAACTTCACTGTAGTTAAAGGTTCTTCTAATGAGGATAATTTTCACAAACTATAAGGTGCTGATGTCATTTAGATTTCTGACATTTGTCTTGTGTTAATGAACTTTCAATGAAAGAGATACTTACTGAAGATAATTTATAGAAAGAATTATATAATTGCATCAAAAGTCAGGTGTCTTAAGTACCCCCTTAACATTTTAAAGCGAATTCAGAAATACATGTTAATAAAAATTAAAGCGATTAAAAATGAATTTCTAATATATTCTTTGTATACTCCAAAGAATATTTTTCACACATTCGTTATGGTACCCCTGACCTGCTTTGGCAATCATTGATCCAAACCACAAGTCAACATTTCTATAGTAACCCTATTACTCTCATAGTAAAATACAATTTTTATATAGGTAATATTCTGATTCTGGGTGCTTTTTCTAACAGGATAATTGAGGTAAAATTGACAGAGTTAAATTCACCCTTTTAAGTGTATAGTTTGATGAGTTTTGACAAACGTAATAGTCATGTAACAACAAATACAGGCATACCTCAGATATATTGCAGGTTCGTTTCCAGACTACCACAATAAAGCAAATATAAAGAATCACACATTTTTTTTTCCTGCTGCATATAAAGTTATATTATGCTATATTAGAGTCTATTAGGCATGCAATAGCATTATTTCTTTAAAAGACTATGTACATACCTTAGTTTAAAAATCTTTATTAGCCCTAACCAGTTTGGCTCAGTGGATAGAGCGTCAGCCTGTGGACTATAAGGTCCCAAGTTTGATTCCGGTCAAGGGCGTGTACCTTGGTTGCGGGTACATCCCCAGTAGGAGGTGTGCAAGAGGCAGCTGATCAATGTTTCTCTTTCATCAATGCTTCTAACTGTCTATCTCTCTCCCTTCCTGTCTGTAAAATATTAATAAAATATATTAAATAAATAAATAAATAAAAATAAATCTTTATTATAAAAATTGCTGACCATTATCTGGCCTTTAGCTAGTCATAATATTTTCACTGGTGGAAGGTCTTGCCTAGATGTTGACAGCTGCTGACTGATTAGGGTGGTGATTATTACAGATTGGGGTGGCTATGGCAATTTCTTGAAATAAGACATACCTTCCTCACTAAGGTTAATCATTTCTAACTTATGATTAAAAGTGAAAGATGTGCAGCTCTTACTGTTGAAAACTTAGAGACCATTGTAGGATTATTAATTGGGCAAATTTCAATATTGTTGTGTCTCAAGGACTAAGGAATCTTGAAGAGATGGAGAGAGACAGGAGGATGGCAGGTCGGTGGAGCAGTCAGAATACATACATTTATCAACTAAGTTCCCTGTCTTAGATGTACGTGGTGCCCCAAAACAAACACAATAGTAACATCAAAGATCATTGATCATAAATCAACATAAAAATATAATAAAATTGAAAAAGGTTGAAATATTGGAAGAATTACCAAAATGCGAAATAGACACAAAGTGAGAAAAAGCTATTAGAAAAATGGTGCTAATTGACTTTCTAGCCACAATCCTTCAATGTTTAAAAAACATGATAAAAGAAGGTATGCAGTCAAATTATAGAATATTTCCATAACTCCAGAATGTTCCCTCTGCTCCTTTGGAATGAATACTCTCTATATCCAGATTCTTGACCACCATTGATCTAAATTATATCCCTTTAGTTTTTCATTTTCCAGAATGTCATAAATGGAACCATATAATATATAGACAATCTTCGGGTTACTTCAGACTTGACATACATTGTTTCACGGTTACATCGCCATCTCCCATTTATTTATAAAAAAAAGTTCCATCATTTTGACATCTGTACATATGTGCTTTATGTTTTTTTATTACTTTTTTTACCACAAGTAAAGGTCAGGCATTGTTATCTTTCTTTTAATTTTTTTTTTTACTGCTTCACTACATTACAGCTGTGTATGTGCTCTATGTGAGTGACGTAGGTGCTTATGTAGGTGGGTTCCAACTTATGGCAAAAATCACGCCATAGGAATGGATCTCCGAAGTAACCTGAGAACCTACTGTATAGACTTTTGCATCTGGCTTATTTTTCTAGCATGTTTCTGCTATTTACTCATGTTGTTGTATGTATACAAAGTTTATTCCTATTATAGCTTAGAGGTATTCTATTATTCTACAATTTGTGTATCAACTCACCAAGAGATTTATAGTTTTGATGATTATGATTAAAGTTGTTATAAACATTCCAGAACAGGTCTTTTTCTATATATAAGTTTTTATTTCTCTTGGGTAAGTATGTAGGAGTAGGATCTTAGGGTTACATATGGTAATTGTATGCCTAACTATGTTAGAAACAGCCAAACTGTTTCCTAAAGCAGCTGTGATATTTTGTATTTCCATCAGCAATATGTAAGTTCCAATAGTTCTGCATCATTGTCAACTGCTGATACTGTCAGGGTTTTTTCTCTTTTTAAAATT